AAATAATCATAATTAAGACTTGAGGCTAACTAACACAGTACAAAATAAAAGATTAAAGCTATAATATTATAAAAGTATAAACAATTTGGTCTTTTCCAAAAATTTAAGATGTGCCTAACAATAAACTCAAGACAAAAGTCATTTAATCTCACAATGAGCCACAATGAGAAAAAGACATTCAAGAGTTTTTAAGTTGAATAACTATTGTTATACTAATAAAAATAAGGGAGAAGTGTTTAGACAAGCAGTTAAGATGTTCTCATCCCACATCACAGTACCTGGGTTCAATTCTTGTTTCCAGTTCGCAATCCCAAGTTCCTGCTAACACAACCCTAGGAGACTGAGTTCCTGACATCCATGTGGGAGACCTGGATTGTGTTCAGCTCCTGGTTTTGCTCCTGACAGAGCCCTTGTCACTGTAGATATCTGGGAGTGCATCTGTAGATGGTGTGAGCTCTTGTGCTCTTGAAAACACACACAAACACATACATACACCCCCTCTCCCTATCTCTTTCTGCTACTTAATTTAAAAAAAAAATTGTTCCATTATTTTAAGAAATCAAAATAAGTTCTGGTAGAAAATGATTTTTCCTTAAAAGTAAGCATACATACAGCAATAACAGTAATTACTATCACAGGTGCTTTAAGAATTGAAACACACAGAACACATATAGAAATAACTGGGGAAAATATAATACATAAACAATCGGTTGATAAGTCACCCCAAAGCAAAACTTAGTAAGTTGTTAATTTTATAGAATCAAAATAATTAAAAGGAAAGAACAATCATCTACTAGCTTAACTGGGCTCAGAAATCAAATTATGTTTCCATATTTACTAAGAAAAAATTTTTTACAAAATTGAACTAACCAAAACTTAAGTAAAATCTGTTAAAATCAGATATGCCATTATAATGAAATTCTAGAGGTGATGCTAGGAAAAGGCACAGGATAGGACTATATGCAATAAAATTATCTTCCTTCAAGAAATACCTTCCAAGTATTTTTTATATCAAAGGAAGTCTTATAAAATATACAATATATGTGGAACACTAAATCACATTGTAATCATTACTTTTCCAAATCTGAATTAAGAGTCTAAAGTAACAGGAAGAGTCTCCAGAAGACAAATATTTCAATGTACAGCAAAACTAACCTAAGGTGATAAAAATCAGTGTAGTGTCTGCCCTTGGGAAACCTGGCTCAAAATCAATACAAAGGGCCAGCGCCATGGCTCAACATGCTAATCCTCCACCTGTGGCGCTGGCACCCCGGGTTTTAGTCCCAGTTGGGGCACTAGGTACTAGTCCCAGTTGCTCCTCTTCCAGTCCAGCTCTCTGCTGTGGCCTGGGAGGACACTGGAGGATGTGCCAAGTGCTTGGGTCCCTGTACCCGCAAGGGAGACCGGGAGGAAGTACATGGCTCCTGGCTTCGGATCCGAGTAGCACCAGCTGTAGCGGCCATTTGGGGAGTGAACCAACATAAGGAAGACCTTTCTCTCTGACTCTCTCTCTCTCACTGTCTATAACTCTTTCTGTCTCTCTCTAGCTCACTATCTAACTCTGTCTGGCAAAAAAAAAAAAAATCAATACAAAGGAACAAAGGAACTTTTTGGGATGTTGATAATGCTCTATCTTTAATGGAGTGCTGGTGACACAATACATACATTTGCCAAGATTCACAGAACTCACTGAAATCTATGAACTGTTATCTCAATAACAGTACTTAAAATTTTAAAAAGTAGTAGATACATACATAAAATGCCACGGTATAAACTAGAAGTGGGTTACTTGGAACATACCTAGAACCAAAGGAAACAGGATATACTTAAATCTGAATTAACAGCAACTTCAACAGACAGTTGATGCACATCAAATTGCCTTAAAATACAATACTAGAAAAATGGTAAACATTTTCAGGAAAAAATTCATTTATACTCAGTAATAACCACAAATTTATTTGCTCAGTAGTAAATTTAGCAATCAATTAATTCATCACAGCAGATTAGCTAGGAGGCTAAATTGGTTAAGATCAGAAAGATACTCAAGGCAGCAATACTGAGGGTTTTGTATAATGAACAAGTAGACTAAATTAAAATTTACTGAGTGTTTAAAATATTCCAGGGCTGGGGCGGCGCCGCGGCTCACTAGGCTAATCCTCCGCCTTACGGCGCTGGCACACCGGGTCCTAGTCCCGGTTGGGGCGCCGGATTCTGTCCCGGTTGCCCCTCTTCCAGGCCAGCTCTCTGCTGTGGCCAGGGAGTACAGTGGAGGATGGCCCAAGTGCTTGGGCCCTGCACCCCATGGGAGACCAGGATAAGTACCTGGCTCCTGCCATCAGATCAGCGCGGTGCGCCGGCCGCAGCACGCCGGCTGCGGCGGCCATTGGAGGGTGAACCAATGGCAAAAGGAAGACCTTTCTGTCTGTCTCTCTCTCTCATTGTCCACTCTGCCTGTCAAAAAAAAATATTCCAGGGCCGGCGCCGTGGCTCAATAGCCTAATCCTCTGCTTGCGGTGCCGGCACAACGGGTTCTAGTCCCGGTCGGGGCGCCGGATTCTGTCCCGGTTGCCCTTCTTCCAGGCCAGCTCTCTGCTGTGGCCCGGGAGTGCGGTAGAGGATGGCCCAAGTACTTGGGCCCTGCACCCCATGGGAGACCAGGAGAAGCACCTGGCTCCTGGCTTTGGATCAGCGCGGTGCGCCGGCCACAGAGTGCCGGCCACAGCGGCCACTGGAGGGTGAACCAACGGTAAGGGAAGACCTTTCCTCTGTCTCTCTCTCTCACTGTCCACTCTGCCTGTCAAAAAATAAATAAATAAAAAATAAAATACTCCAGGAACTATCCTAAATACTTCACCCATATTAATTAATCTTAACTACAGAAATAGGCACTATTACTGCTCTCATTTTACAAATGACAAAACCAAAGCATCCTGAGGTTTAAGTGTCTTGGTGAGATCATAAAAGGTCTAACTCTGCTGGTCTAACTCTAAGGACAACCCTCTTAATTACTTTTTTTTGCTGCCTCTCTGGAATTAGCTGTCTTAAAATTTTCTAGGCTGTAATAAATATTGTACTCTATATAGCTGCTCACCTCAAGGATCATGCTATTCAAATCTGAACAGCTTACGTGAGAAAAATAGTATCTCTGCAATTCTGAATTGTTCAAGGATTCCAAGTTTTATCCTTAATTACAGGAAATATTAAAAAGGCAATATAGTCTATATAGTCTCTATAATCCATGACAAATGCCAAGTCTTATATTTTCTTTTCTTTTCTTTTCTTTTTTTTTTTTTTTTTGACAGGCAGAGTGGACAGTGAGAGAGAGAGAGACAGAGAGAAAGGTCTTCCTTTTCCGTTGGTTCACCCTCCAATGGCCCCCACGGCCGGCGCACTGCAGCCGGCGCACCGCGGCTGATCTGAAGGCAGGAGCCAGGTGCTTATCCCAGTCTCCCATGGGGTGCACGGCCCAAGAACTTGGGCCATCCTCCACTGCACTCCTGGGCCATAGCAGAGCACTGGCCTGGAAGAGGAGCAACTGGGACTAGTACCCAGCACCCCAGCCAGGACTAGAACCTGGGGTGCCAGCGCCGCAGGCGGAGGATTAGCCTATTGAGCCGTGGCACCAGCCACCAAGTTTTATATTTTCAAGCTCTACCTCACAGTTTCCTAAATTTTAAGATCATGACATCTGTTATCACAATTGCTACATTGATATTACTAAGAACATTATCTTATATGCGTCCAACAAGTTCTGCTTCTTTGATATAACTTAGTATGTTTTCTCTTCCAGGATCTTGAAACTGTATAAAATATTCATGTCTTGGCCAGCAAACAGCTCAAAAACTAATTTAAGATGGAACCAAATAAAATTACATTTGACTTTATACCCTGAATGTGTACCTAGTCTATCTTTTTTACCCTTACCTCACTCCATCCATGCAAATTTTTGTGCATTTTGTTGTTTTCTGATTCTACAGAGAGGTATGCATGCAAATCAAGGAGGTACAACCCCATACAGTGGGCCTCTCCATTTACATGGGCCCTGAATCCCAGACTAAACCAACCACAAATGGAAAATATTTGTGGAAAAAACTGTACTTGTACTAAAACACATTAAGTTTTTATTTTTTTCTCTCTCCTAAACAATACAGTCTAACAGCTATTTATACAGTATTTACATCTTAATAGGTATTATAAGTTATCTACAGATTAAATTGTCAACAGAATGTATATAACTTATATGTAAACGCTATACCATTTTATATAAGTGACTTGAGCACTGCAGATTTTGGTATCCATAAGGAAGCCCTAGAAACAGTCTCCCCAGGATACTGAATGACAACTTTATATTTATGTATTTCATACTTTAACACTGACTCAATGTTATTTCAAAAGGACTTACATAGGACAATTTCATTATGAATTATAAAATAACACTAGTAAAAATAATCATTTTTGTTTTAGCAGCCAACCTTAAGGATTAGAAAGCAAAACTATGAGAGTTGAAGACTGTCACACTGAACAAACAGCAAACTCTTAAAATTACAAACTTATCTCTAACAACGCTAAACCACTCTAAACATCTGTTCACTGGACTGGCTTAAATCTGCTATACCTGAACTGAAAATCAAGAGCACCTCTGTACAACAGGGAACTCATTCAAGTCACTTTTTAGACCAGGGGTGGTATTTTCTTTACCCTGGCTCCCTCTATTGACAGAAAAATAAAATTAGAGAATTATACAGGCAAATTCCACCAACACAAGGAAAAGTATTTTTTAAATACTCCCAAATCAACATTTTAAATAAAAATAGATTAAAACCTGACTTTACCATAGACCCAAGAGATAAACATAAAAATTAAACTGACAGCTCAAGCAACATTCAAATTTCACACGTGATCTATGCATTTCAATATACATCTTTTATCCTTAGATAAAGGAAGGGCTAAATGTTCTTAAACCATATTAAGTATTTTTAATAACCTCTTGTTAAGTTTACCTGTATCTGTTCTGGTGTCCATTGATCTAGGTTGACTGACTTGACCCTGGATATATGAACCCCAAGATTTCTATGAATTCCAGCACATCTGATGCAAATAAATACACCAATATTCCAGGAAGCCCATCGAGGACCTATTTAAGGAAAAGAAGCAAAGAAAAGCAAATGTTAAAAGATAACATAATAAACATCATGATGATATATTAGAAGCATTCTTATTTTTAATACAATTATAGTAGAAATTTACAAAAACCATATGCTCAAATTTTCAGTGCAGAGGGACTTGATAAGACATGCCTTAGCTACACTGAAAAGTCATAAATCAATGTTCAATAACATTAATCAATTTACTAACTTTGCTTTTCTAGAATACTGTCTCTAAAATTTGAATTTTAATTTACGTGAACAATATTTTTCACAGAATAATCTGAATCAGTACTAGTAATATCCCATGTAAATAGTAAGTTATTTATCAAATGGAAAAACAGTGCCTAAAAGATTAACAACAGAAATCAAACAAAAGCATTCAGAAAAATAAACACAGAAATAAATAAAACTGGGGCCAGCATTGTGGTTAACAGGTAAAGCCACGGCCTGTGATGCCAGCATCTCACTGGGTGCCAGTTCGAGTCCCAGCTGTTCCATTTCCTTCTGGCTCCCTGCTAATATAACTAGAAATGCAGCAGAGGATGGCCCCAGTGTTTGGGTCCCTGTCAACCATGGTAGGAAAACTTGAAGAAGCTTCTAGCTCCAGACCAGCTCAGCTCCTGCCACTGAGGCCATTTTCTCTGTCTTTCCCTCTCTAAGACTCTGATTTTCAAATAAACAAATAATCTTTAAAAAAAAAAAAAAAAAGAAAGAAAAAGACAATCAACAATATGACTGGGTAATTCACAGACGATTTATATGCCACGAAACATGAAAATATGTACAACTGCAGTGGCAATTAAGGAAAATGCCCTTTAAAAGTATAATATCTCCTACTTTGCATCCAACAGATTGATTTAAAAAGAAAAAGTAATATGTTAGTACTATGTGTTGGTGAAATGAGAAACAAGACTGTCTTAAAAAGTCGTAAAAAATCTCCTAGCAGAGAGCTGGATCAGAAGTGGAGCAGCCGGAACCCCAACCACGCCCATATGGGATGCCAGCACTGCAGGCAGTGGCTTTACCCACTAGGCCACAGCACTGGCCCCATCTCATTTCTAAAACTTATAACAACTTAAAACATTTAAAACAATGTATTCTGAAGCTCACACAGAAATCTAAAAAGGAAGTAGTCACAAACAGAGAAAATAGCTGGAGGGTTTAATTTTTTTTAACAGCTAAGTAACTGCAACAAGAAATGTCGCAGAAGCTCTACAGAACATACACATCATCTGGGGAAATCATGAAAATAGAGTCTGTTTCTGCAGCCCTCACAGTGGCATGTGAGATTCTGCATTCCCTCTATGTTTCCAGTTATGACCATTCTGGCATGCATACATCCCTTAAAACAGCACATTCCAGATTAATCTCGACAGTCTAAAAAGCAAGCATTCAGCATATAGTAGTCAGCCCTTATCCACAGGATATATTCCAAGACTACAAGTAGATGACTGAAACTGCAGATAGTACCATATCCTAAATACACTATAGTTTTCTATGTAAACACACCTATGACAGTTTAATTTATAAATTATTCATAGTAAGAGATCATCAACAATAACGAATAATTACAATATAGTCCATTAAGCCTATGACTTTTATTTTCTGATTATAGTTTCTCTCTCAAAATATCTCACTGTATTGTATTCATTCTTCTTGGGAAAATGTGGGATATTTAAATAAAGTGCCATAATGCTTTGAGGCTATTACTGAGTAAAATAAGAGTTACTTCGACATATGCACCACAATACCATAATACTGGATCTTTTAACAGACAGCTTCTATGTGACTAACAGTCAAGTAGCACACATACAATGGATAAACGGATAATTCACTTCTGAGTAGGGTGATGTGAGAGAAGAAAAGATTACAGTACACTAGTCAGAATGGTACACAATTTAAACGTTAACCATTTGTTTTGAAAAATTTTCCTTTTAATAATTCTGGACAAAAATATACTCTAGGTAACTGAAACTGCAAAAAGCAAAACCATCAATAAAGGGAACTATTGTACTTCCTGATCTGTTTTCATATGCCTGTTAAGGGACTAATAAATGTGGAGGCAATAAGAAGGGAAACAGGCAACTTAAGAAGCATCAGGAAGAAATGACAGGACTCAGTGAAAGACAATACAGTGACAAACAAGGTAGAGATCAAAACATCTGAAATTATGCACCTGGGATTTAAAGCACAAAGTTTCTTATAGAGTCAGAAAACTGACTTTTGATACAAAAATGTCCAGTAGGTAATTAAGAATATAAGACTAAAGTTCAAACTGGAGATACAGATATGAGCACCTTCTTCAAGATCATAGTTATAAGAATTCTACCACTGAAACACCAATGCCTAAAATATGTAATCAACCAAGGTGTCCACCATCAGATGAACAAAGAAAATGTGGTGTATGAATGTGTATATATAGATATATATATACATGTAAAATGTATGTGTATATATATAATGGAATACTGTTCAACTATTAATGAAATTCTACCATTTGCATCAAAATGTTTGGAACTGGAGGACAACATGCTGAGTGAAACAAACCAGATACAGAAAGTACCACAAGTTCTACCTTAGAAGTGGGAACTAAAATGAATGAATGAATGAACCTGTAGGTATCAGCACTGCTGCAAATACAGTTTTGCAAAATTCTGCTTTATACTTCTGTCAAACCAATGGTAAAGAAAGTTATGGTACTACTACAGTTTTAATGATTTAAGATTAAAATTTACTGTATATGAATGAAAGTAATTTTTCAATGCAATTACTGTTCATAGTCATTGCCTATATTCCCACTAAACTAGGGCCTTTTTGCTTTTTACTTATTTCATGAAGCAGTAAGCCTTTTTACTGTAATATAAATTTAAAATATGTCAACTCAAAAACTAAAAAAAGAAAGGGAGAGGGAAGGAGTGTGGCAGGGAAGAAAGAAGGGAATATCATTATATCTTCAGAATCTATAAACATATTGAATGTTAAAAACTAATTAAAATTTTAAAAATAAAATTAATTGTATAATCCAGATTAAATTTAAAAAGATGACATTAGCAGTTCCAAGAACAAAGAGGAGAAAAAGAGTAAGCCTTAGGCGGAAAACGAAAAGCTATATAAACACAAAATCAAAGGAGGAAATTTTGAAGAAAAGACAGATGGGGCCAGCGCTGTGGCACAGTGGGTAAAGCCACTGCATGTGGTGCTGGCATCCCATGTGGGCACCGGTTCGAGTCCTGGCTGTTCCTCTTCAGATATGGTTCTCTGCTATGGCCTGGGAAAGCAGTGGGGGATGGTCCAAGTGCTTAGGCCCCTGCACCCTCATGGGAGATACAGAAGCTTCTGATTCCAGGCTCCTGGCTTCAGATCGGCTTAGCTCCAGCCATTGCAGCCATTTGGGGAGTGAACCATCAGATGGAAGACCTCTCTCTCTCTCTCTGCCTTTCAAATAAATAAACAAATTTAAAATAAAAGAAAGAAAAGATGGCTGACAGTGTCAAAAGTTTCAGAGAAGTCAAGCAAAATGGAACTAGGTACATATACTTCTTACTAGGAAAGAACATCTGGACGTGATAACTCCAGTAACTGAGAGGTTAGGCAGAAAGAGGGAATCTATCTATCCTGAATTCTATTGTCAGATTAAACTCAACATTTCAGTCTCCAACTCCAAACTTTTAATAGTTTAACAGTTTCCTATTTTCTTCGATACTGTTTTCATGACCATCTTGACCCTTCTTAAATTAACTTTATTTTGTTTAACTCCAACTTAAAGTAGTCTAAAAGCAACAGATTCCTTGCTTTCCCTTGTTACAACTCCATTATCCTATCTTGGCACTTTTCCAGCCCACCATTTCCCTGCCTAGAAGTTTCTGTCTATAGACAGTAGGAAAGTGGGGCCTGTGTTATAAGCACAATAGGTTAAGCTGAAGCTTGCAATGCCCTCATCCCACACTGTCGAGGCCGCAACTAGAGACAAGAGAGAAAAACAAGATGCCTGAGGAGGGCAGATATCCTAATCTCTGTTTACTGAAACCCCCCATTCAAGTTCCCCACACTGTCTGGGAATTCCCCAATCTCTTCCTCACAGCTGTTGATGTCTGGGTAGGTGTCCTAATCTCTTGTCACATCCCATAAGTGTATTCAAGTTCCTCAGGAGTAGTCCTGAGTCACACAGGCTGCAACCAAGCCCACCAATGCTGTGGGCTGTTAAAGCATGGAGCTGACAAACCTATAAATATTGTAAGAAACCTTCACCGGGCACTCAGTCTTGGGAAGCAATTCCACAGCGCTCGTCGATATTAATAAACTGTTTCTGACCCTCTACTCAGTCTCTGTTCAAACTAAGGGAATTTCTCCAATCAAGCTTTCTACAACAGGATAAGTGTCATTTCAAGTTCCAGCTTCAACACTATTTTTTTTTAACTTTTATTTAATAAATATAAATTTCCAAAGTACAACTTCTGGATTATAGTGGCTTTTCCCCCCATAACCTCTCTCCCACCATCAACCATCCCATCTCTCACTCCCTCTCCCATCCCATTCTTCATCAAGATTCATTTTCAATTATCTTTATATACAGAAGATCAACTTAGTCTAAGTAAAGATTTCAACAGACTGCACCCACACAGACACACAAAGTATAAAGCACTGTTTGAGTACTAGCTTTACCATTAATTCGCATAGTACAACACATTAAAGACAGAGATCCTACATGGGGAGTAAGTGCACAGTGATTCCTGTTGTTGAATTAACAATTGACACTCTGATTTATGAAGTCAGTAATCACCCGAGGCTCTTGTCCTGAGTTGCCAAGGCTATGGAAGCCTCTTGAGTTCACAAACTCCAACCTTATTTAGACAAGGCCATAATCAAAGGGGAAATTCTCTCCTCCCTTCAGAGAAAGGTAGCTCCTTCTTTGATGGCCCGTTCTTTCTACTGGGATCTCATTCACAGAGATCTTTCATTTAGGTGTGTTTTTTTTTTTTGTTTTTTT